CACTAAGTTGCAATCATATGGTTTCCAAGACCCGTTACTGTCCTGGCTTAGAACGTCTTTAGAGGGTCGCTTCCAAGTAGTAAAATTCAGTAATTGCTACTCCACCCCTAGACCTATACAAAGTGGTGTCGTCCAGGGTAGTGTGCTAGGACCGATACTTTTCCTAATCTATGTAAACGATATCTGCAGTGTTATCCGAAATGGCATACCCTACCTTTTCGCTGACGACTTGAAGATAGTCTACAGCTTTTCTCCTGCAGCACTAACACAGGGTTTCTCTCAAATACAAAAAGATCTGAAGAGGATATTCATATGGAGCGAGACCTGGCAGCTCCCTCTAAACCCAAATAAAAGTGGCATCCTCCATTTCAATAAATCCCACCCAGAAGTAACACTACACTTGGGTGACATTGCACTGCAGGTATACAACACTGTGAAAGACCTCGGAATCACTTACTCCAGAAGTTTGACTTTTACGGAGTATGCAGACTCAGAAGTTTCCAAAGGCAGAAGACTCGTAGGTCTTCTACACAGAAACATACTCATGAGGCAAAACTTATACTGTACAAGGCTATGGTTCGCCCAATATTAGAGTACTGCACGTTATCTATGGTAGCATGAAAGTATCGGACAGAATTCGAGTAGAGAACATTCAACGGAACTTTACTCGGCGCCTACTAATACATAACGAAGGACTTGCATACGAAGCAAGATGCAAAAAACTAGAACTAGAACCAATCTAGCCGAGACGTCTGAAGCCCGACCTAAAGTCATTTTCGCCTCTTATTTGGAAACTCTAAAACGTAATGTACTATCACTTTTGAATCAACACAGGCATATAACCTTAGTAATAGCGAGTACACCATCTCAATAAATAAGTACCGCTCAAAACTTAGATGTAGGTTTTTCAGAACGCAATACAGTATGCTGTGGAACAAACTTCCCCCTCCCATACGAGCATGTCGTTCTCTCAGCCAGTTTCAACGATCACTTAGTGAATTCCTCCTATCTAAAGAATCTCAACAATTCGTTGACGGCCAAACCACAAACGGTAATACCATGTACAATGGTGCTACTGGTACCTAGACTCAGAGGACACTAACAGCAATGACAAAAGTATGCAATGCCGAAAACTAAACGCATTGGTTAAGTTAAAACCTAATTTTTCAAAAAAAAATGACCAAGAGTGAGCAGGAAGCGAAGTGCGACACGACATGCAACAGTGAACTCAGTAACCACTCCAATGTAACCTACATTTCTTCATAACCTAACTGATCTCATGACTTAACACCTATTCCCTAAAAATTGTCCCTTAAAATAATCTCTCTACTCCGAAAAGATAAAAGAACTGTCTATCGGTGCATTTTCATAGCATGTGACATGTTTTATCATTTGCCCTTTGTTATCAGTACTTACTTGTAAGTACCCTGCACCACCATATTGTTTCGGTAGCCCCGATATAGTAATACTCAACAGGCAATACAATGATCATCCCTCCCCGTGACTACATAAAGTATGGTTACCATCTTAGAAAAACCATGAATTTCATTTAAATGTTTATAACTTCATCAAACTTTTGTACATAGGTATATAACAAGTGAATACCTGGTCCAAAATCCTCTAATCTCTCTGTTTCGTAGTGATATCTTCGGCTTCAGACTAATTTTCATTACTGACGTGCGCACCTTCATCTTCTTCCACCTAAGCTTACCTCCAAACAGTTGGGTTTGGATACTTCTTCAAGTAAGTTTTGTAGTCAGTACAAAGAACTCAAACAGATGTATCATGGTTGATCTATTCCTGCGTATATTTGTGCTCCTGTATCGAATTTCGCCTGCTGCTCGCTTTTGTTATTCACTTTTCTGGTTAACCTAACCGGTCCTGCATTCAAATGGAATCCTAGAAATCGCATTGTCAGTGTGCACCATGCCATCAAGTTCTTATGACGGACGCACACACCCCATGGTCATGACTGTAATGCCTGCTCCACCTTCAAGAATATTGGAAGATTCAAACAATGGCCGAATAATTCTTAATTTTGAACTGAGCCCGCTTCAACACACCTCTTATATGCCATAAATAATGGCATCTAATGCATAGCTTAACATTGTACATAATAGTCATTTCTCGTTACCAAAATGACGGAACCTGGAAACTGGTTTGCATTCATGCAACCTTTGCTGCATGAAATATATGTATATTATTATTATTACGCCTCGGCTAAAGATCTTATGCTTGAAACTGATCTAATTCAAAAAGATCAACGCCTTCGACACGGTTTAAAGAAGCTATTCGAAACAATCCGTGGGCTATAGAGTTAATTGCTCCAGGTATGCGTCAGACAAATGACTTGAAATAACGGACGCAATACGGTTGTCACAACTCACGCGGGGAGTAGCAATCGGATGCCTAACCAGGGCCGAAGGTTAGCAGTTTGCGATCGGTGAGACGACGACCTTCAACTGAGTTTTGAAAATGTTGCTCGGAACAGTACATGGGTAGAAGGTCCCTACCAGTTGTGCTGCACCTTGTTTCCACCTACTGCAGCCACCCCGAGACAGAGGCTATCAGTCACCACTGGCTGCCAGTCAGCTGTCACAAAACCGCTCCAATTGGTGAGTCAGGCGTATCAACAGCAACACTCGAAGGAGCATTGGGGTCGTGATGCAAAGGTACGGTTGCATTTGTGATGGCTCCCTTGACCTTAGAGAAAACAATGTCTAGCCAAAGTCACGCACTTCGCAACCTCCAGAAGTAGATCTGTGGGTGGTCTGATAACATAGGGACAGTCGGGAATAAACCTTTGGTAATAACTTAGCAGTCCATTGACAATGTGGTTACGCTTTACGGCTGTTGGTTTCGGGTAGCCTCGAGCATCCGACAGTCCATATGTCACCGGGCAAGTACCTTTGTTGTCAACAGTTTCCGCAGAGAAATCGAACGATTTGACTTCTGTTTGGTATTACTGGATCGTGGCTGTGGCTCCGCGCTTTTGCGACCGGTGAAGTGTGAGGCACAAATATTTCAGGTAAGTTTCCTCATCTGGACCCGCAAATAGACATTCACCTATCTATTCGTGGCGAAAATCCAAACCATGGAAAACATCGTCCATGATGCGTTGGAATTTCTGTGCCACATTCCATGGATGGAAAGGCATATGCAGTAATTCCACATCATCCCAAAGGTATAATAGTGGCATCTTTCTAGATATCTTCTACAGCTGCAGGTATCTGGTTGTAAGATTCGATGAGGTGGATCTTGAGTACTATGTCTGCCCCACATGAAATTGCAGTCAATCAGTAAATGGGAGGTATTGGGTAGCAATCTGGAGTCGTTTTGGCTTTAAGCCATCGGCAATCACTAGTTGGACGTCAGTCGTTACTGTCGTTGTTGGAACAGTACACCATGGAGGTGATAAAAGACTGTTCGTCGGCTTGGTAATTCCCCATTCAGGTATGCGATCGAACCCACTTTTCGCTGTTTTCAGCTTCTCGTGGGCTGGCCGGCGTGCTCTGAATGCCACAGGTTGACTTATGGTTTAGCAGTGATGCACAACATTCGTGGTTATGCAGGGTAGAGTATGTGTCAGTCTTCTCAGCTCCGGGTACTCACCTGACACTAACTAGTGGGACAGGGTGACTGTATGTTTCGTTATAACCATGGCTAAAATTTCACCCAGGTGCGTGGTCCCAACAATAGATAACTTAGAATTGATGTCTATCAGTCATAGGCGGGCATCTACGAGTAGGTCGTAATGGTTCAGCAAATCCATGCCGATGGTGGGCGTGGTAACACAGCTAGATGACCACTTACGAGCAACGCAACGTAACAAGACAACGTGCCGAATCGGGTGTACGCTTAATAGTGCTCCTCCAGCTTAATAACACTTCTAAAACTACCAACGTCAGCATAGGTCTTGAATGTCGTCAAATCCAAGCCTACTGGTTCTCGGGAATTATTTGGAGCTGCAGATGCTAACGGCAGATACATTCCAGGCATTAGACACATTTAGTTTTGAGCAGAGGCTCTCCCATTTATCCTGTCGCAACTTTCTTGAAGAAACCTGGCTGATTCGTAAGCGTATGTAACAACTTAAGAAAAACTGTACAGGAATAAAAACAATCATCGTAACAAAGATAGAAATTTTCCCAACAACTAACCGATAAAATCAACAGCGATCCTTGGGTTTTTATGGCAAGTTTGGGATGTGAAGTCCGTAGAGATGCTTAGGGTCGGCATACATATTGCTAGCTGCCAATACCAACCACTAAGTCTCCAACAATTCAGAAAACTACCTCCCCGTTATCGCGCTTTTAGCTTTTTGTCAACTACTGAATAATCTGGACTCCAGTCACTGTTTTTCAACCATAAAACCATTACATTATTCAGTTAATCAGTAGAGCTAAATAATATAAATGGTCTCTTTAAAGCAATCCCAGAAACCTTAGCTTAGATTTTTGGAGTCTCTCCTGATAAGAGGCTTCATGGCATATTATTGAAGCCTGCGTGAATTTCGACGGACGCCCATTAGACAAGCTACTCTGAATACAATACGGCTGTCATTAGCGAAATAAAATTCACGGGGCAAGCCCATTTTCATGCGTGATAAGGTAAGTCGAAATAATTACAGTTTCCATACTAGACAAGATATGAGACTTACAGACTAGCTGCGTGAATAATAAACGTGTCAGTTTGTCGACCACAAGAGAAAAAGACATTTATTTCTTTCATATTACAGAACTGAGCTTCGTAACGAGTTCAACTGTTCTGTAACATCGAACAAATCTGATTTCCTTATCCCTAATATGAAAATCTTCGGCTTACCAAACATTGAAAGATCATACATAACATTCAGAATGAAAAATAATCCTGCCAGTTAACTCGCTTTCGCCATTTCTAATATTTACAAGTTTTGCACTTTTACTACATCAAACGTCACTAACACGTCATACGAGGCGGCTAGTAGTATATAAAAAGGCATCAGAAGAAACCCTAAATTTATACCGGATTCCTGAAGTACTTTTTAGTCGCTAAGTATGCAGATATTTGTTAAGACTTTGACTGGTAAGACCATTACTCTGGAGGTTGAACCTAGTGATACGATTGAGAATGTGAAAGCAAAGATTCAAGATAAAGAAGGTATTCCACCTGACCAACAGCGTCTTATCTTCGCTGGGAAGCAGTTGGAAGATGGCCGTACATTGTCTGATTATAATATTCAGAAGGAGTCGACTTTGCATCTTGTCCTACGTCTTCGTGGTGGTATGCAGATATTTGTTAAGACTTTGACTGGTAAGACCATTACTCTGGAGGTTGAACCTAGTGATACGATTGAGAATGTGAAAGCAAAGATTCAAGATAAAGAAGGTATTCCACCTGACCAACAGCGTCTTATCTTCGCTGGGAAGCAGTTGGAAGATGGCCGTACATTGTCTGATTATAATATTCAGAAGGAGTCGACTTTGCATCTTGTTCTACGTCTTCGTGGTGGTATGCAGATATTTGTTAAGACTTTGACTGGTAAGACCATTACTCTGGAGGTTGAACCTAGTGATACGATTGAGAATGTGAAAGCAAAGATTCAAGATAAAGAAGGTATTCCACCTGACCAACAGCGTCTTATCTTCGCTGGGAAGCAGTTGGAAGATGGCCGTACATTGTCTGACTATAATATTCAGAAGGAGTCGACTTTGCATCTTGTCCTACGTCTTCGTGGTGGTATGCAGATATTTGTTAAGACTTTGACTGGTAAGACCATTACTCTGGAGGTTGAACCTAGTGATACGATTGAGAATGTGAAAGCAAAGATTCAAGATAAAGAAGGTATTCCACCTGACCAACAGCGTCTTATCTTCGCTGGGAAGCAGTTGGAAGATGGCCGTACATTGTCTGACTATAATATTCAGAAGGAGTCGACTTTGCATCTTGTCCTACGTCTTCGTGGTGGTATGCAGATATTTGTTAAGACTTTGACTGGTAAGACCATTACTCTGGAGGTTGAACCTAGTGATACGATTGAGAATGTGAAAGCAAAGATTCAAGATAAAGAAGGTATTCCACCTGACCAACAGCGTCTTATCTTCGCTGGGAAGCAGTTGGAAGATGGCCGTACATTGTCTGATTATAATATTCAGAAGGAGTCGACTTTGCATCTTGTCCTACGTCTTCGTGGTGGTATGCAGATATTTGTTAAGACTTTGACTGGTAAGACCATTACTCTGGAGGTTGAACCTAGTGATACGATTGAGAATGTGAAAGCAAAGATTCAAGATAAAGAAGGTATTCCACCTGACCAACAGCGTCTTATCTTCGCTGGGAAGCAGTTGGAAGATGGCCGTACATTGTCTGACTATAATATTCAGAAGGAGTCGACTTTGCATCTTGTCCTACGTCTTCGTGGTGGTATGCAGATATTTGTTAAGACTTTGACTGGTAAGACCATTACTCTGGAGGTTGAACCTAGTGATACGATTGAGAATGTGAAAGCAAAGATTCAAGATAAAGAAGGTATTCCACCTGACCAACAGCGTCTTATCTTCGCTGGGAAGCAGTTGGAAGATGGCCGTACATTGTCTGACTATAATATTCAGAAGGAGTCGACTTTGCATCTTGTCCTACGTCTTCGTGGTGGTATGCAGATATTTGTTAAGACTTTGACTGGTAAGACCATTACTCTGGAGGTTGAACCTAGTGATACGATTGAGAATGTGAAAGCAAAGATTCAAGATAAAGAAGGTATTCCACCTGACCAACAGCGTCTTATCTTCGCTGGGAAGCAGTTGGAAGATGGCCGTACATTGTCTGATTATAATATTCAGAAGGAGTCGACTTTGCATCTTGTCCTACGTCTTCGTGGTGGTATGCAGATATTTGTTAAGACTTTGACTGGTAAGACCATTACTCTGGAGGTTGAACCTAGTGATACGATTGAGAATGTGAAAGCAAAGATTCAAGATAAAGAAGGTATTCCACCTGACCAACAGCGTCTTATCTTCGCTGGGAAGCAGTTGGAAGATGGCCGTACATTGTCTGACTATAATATTCAGAAGGAGTCGACTTTGCATCTTGTCCTGCGTCTGCGCGGGGGTTAATATTTGTCTTTAATGTTATCTAATAAATGTGATGTGTGTTTTAACGCGTTTTTCTTATTTGTTAATTATTTAAGGTTGTGAGATGTGGGTGCATTTCACTGTGTGTTGGTCGCGGTTTTGGTGATGGATGCTGTAATTTGGGATGCGTTTCTGGCCAAATAACGTGATGTGATTGTCTTTTGTGTGTGGATGTGGAATAGATTTGGGGTGTAGGTTGTTATTCTTGGGCCAAGTAAAGCGGGATTCATTGGTTACCAGCACGGTCCAACTAAGGTTATTTCGAAAGACAGTTCAGGTTTTCGTGTTTCACTTCTGACTCCTACTCGTCTTTGGCGCACGGTGTCGTTGGGCGCACATCTCGCTTACCGTGTACGTCTTGGTCTGAATATGACTGGGTACTTTCGGATGACCTTGCGTTGTTTCCCACAAGTGGTCTAGGCACTGATGAATTGATTTGGACCAGGTGTTGATAACCTAAGTAGCGTTTAAGATTCATCTCTTTCGGATTGGCAACTTTTAGACAGGAAAATAATTTATGGAGAAACAAGTCAGCCTGTTCAAGACTACAAATTGTTTAGGATCTCATTAGAACCAGAGTTATGACCACAATGTACCTATTTGCCCGAAATCAGTGAAACCGACACTTACTTGTCGTCACTGTCTGGAAATCTCGAAACGGGGTTTGGATCCTAAGGTAACGCCAGTCGTAGAAATGAGCGCAGGTTATTAGCCAGAAGTTGTCGTTTTCTGAATATTGGTTTGTGTGAGATCCACTGATTTCACCATGGACGTCGCATGAAGGGTTACGGGATGCATATATATCCGGTACCTTTAGTTGGCTGCCGCAATCAAACCAACTACTAGTAGGGAAAGACATTAACCATCTCACGTGCTGAAGCAGCGATAATTAACAAGTAGTCGAATAACTGGTAAGTTGCTCTACTTCTGTGGGCGGGATTACCTGCTAAGAACTACTTCCTATGTGGAAACTTTTCACGATCCAGCAGAATTTAGAATAATGCAAGTTCCCGGTTATTGTCCAATAGTACAGGAATTTCTATATGCTTCCAAACTACAATTACGCAGTGATTCTCATATTCAATTTGAAGAAACCCGAGCGAGTGTCATTGATCCAGAATAGTGGTATCACTCCCCTCGATTAGCGAAAGTCATAAATTAACCGAGCAAACCTGATATTTCCTGGTGACCACCACAAAAATAAAATCTGTCGAGATCTCGTAACTTCGTATATCTTGTGGGGGTTTTGTTTCAGAAGCACAGTTGCTCAATATATATATATATATATATATATATATATATATATATATATATATATATATATATATATATATATATGTTCAGATCCTTTTCCTGCTACATAGGTGGTAGCAGTTGGTAAAAGTCAAACCGTCTTTGGGTATCCACACTCAAATCTTGTCTTGCATGTTTACTGAAAAAATGAGGACCGTAATCATTGTTTCATGATGTTATCGGTTGTTTGAATTAGTGACCTAGTAGATACGTGCTTACTGGTTCACTTTTTTCTTAAAGTTCTGTTACCTGAAGAACTTTAATCACTGTGCGACATAAATAACATCAGATAATCCAAAGACCAGAGAATTATTTCGTTGCTGAGTCACCAGCGTCTCTGTTGTAGTTATGTGGATTGAAAGGAACGTTTATAATCATTATAAGGACATTTTTGTTGATTTCGAAATTTGAAAGTAAGTGTACAGCACACTTACTTATCAAAAAGATAAGTGATCATTTACAATATGAATTCTCTTCGTTTTTGCACTCATGGATAAATCACAAATTCCAATATCCTTTATTCTTAGGTTATTCAAAGGATCATTTCCCATCGTGTGGGCAACCAGAAAGTGCAAGTCATTGGTAAACCATGTATAGTGTATGTCCCCTTTGTGAGAATCGTCGAAACTTAGTTCGTCTTAGCAACCTTATTTTTATTAGTTAGTGCTAGTAAGAGATAAAATCTCTTGTTTCTAAAAAAAGATTCTATCTTGGTGTACCACAACCAGAAATACACCCTGACTAGTCGGATCTGGGCTTTTACACCCGTCGTTAATCTCATTTGCATTATGTTAATTCATGTATTACTTACCATCCGACGACCAATTTAAATGTCTGAAAAGCTTTGAGTAGAAGGTTCCGGTGTAATTTGATGAGCGGACAGTGATAGTTGTCTTCAGAAACTGCTAATTTACAACAATCTGTTTCAGTCGTAAATGTTAAACACATACTGTGATAAACAACATTTAAGGGACTGACTGACAAAACCTCGCACTCAAGTGTATCGATTCAAGTTGCGACACTTCACAGTGATACCAAAGTAGACAAGGAAGTGTGAGAGAACAAACAATCCCTGTGTGGTCACCATGATCTCTTTTCCCACCTAGTCCGGCCTTCCCGAGCATGGCACTTCGAGGTAGACAGTGGCTCGGCATGAGCAGTATATATCCAAGACATCTCAGTCAACTAAGGTTCACAGCCTCATAAATCGACTTGGATGTTTCGCCCAGTACCTTTCACCTGACCTGTTCGGTTTTTATGGTATTTTTAACTTGTTCTTTTGACTTGTAGACGCTCTCTTGCTTTTTATTTTTTATTGTATCCTTTCGTTTGTCGTGTTTGCTTTTCAAATGACCTAATTTCGCTTTCTAGTTTCTTCATTAATTATGTGACTCGTGATTTCTCAGTGAAGATGTATTGAGGAAACGAAGTCAGTCATAAAATAATTTCACTGCAGAATATGGAATTCCTTGTCGTAATCTGTTCTTTGCAAACAACATTTTGCTTTGACATAGCCAAGAGGATTCATATGAACTACAGTCAGCACTCTTGTTTACTTCAGAGGACATTACTTTTTGTTTTACTTTAACACAAGATCTGTTTATCACTTGTTTTAAATAATGCTTTCATGTTAAGATTTTTCGTAGGTGTCTGACGTCGGTAAATAATATTTGTCCCTACAAATGAAATATCTTCTTTCGTCATTAATCTATCCAGTATGCAGTTTTTCCACTTTTTATTAAAACTTAAAAGCGCGTTCAAATCTCACAAAAGAGTGTTATCGCGCAATAGTTTCACTCCAAATATTATCAGAACTTAAACTGGATCATTAATTTAGGAGGACCTTGGGCATTTTGGTATACTATAATTCCATATTCAATTGTTTATTTGAGTGATGTAACACACATTGACATAGTATAATTAACTGGAGTATATTTCGAGCAGAATTTATTGATTTACTGAATAGACTAGTAATACAACTACTTATGAGACCACTCAAATGACTGACAAAACCAACGTAGAACCTCGTGATAAGGTGCATCCGTCCGAGCTGCCACACTTCACAGTAGTATACAAAGAAAAGGTGGATAGAAAAAGAGTAACCTCAAAGTAGATAAAGTTGTGTGAGAGAACAAACAATCCAGAAATAATGGTTAGCACAAATATTCAAGCTTCAGATGTCTGGGAGTGAATACACCTGCACCATTGTGACCGATTTCCAGCCATGTCACTAAGAGTCCTCAACCACTAATTCCTTTCACCTCGGGGACCCCAACCGTCATCATCATGATTATCAACATAGGACCAGACATTACTGCATAACGGTCAAAGATCCCGCACCTCATTTCAGTACATCAAGTAAAAAGGCAGTGAGGTGCAAGGTGAAGATAAGGAAATTTAGTCAAAAGAAATATAAACTGCTAAAAGAGAGAAAGGAAGAATGAGAAAATGATGAGATCAGGTATAGCGTCGTTAAGATGAGGATAATGTGTGTATACATCTGCGCCACTGACATCGGTTCTGAGCCATGTGATCAACTAGAGTCTCCAACCACTGGTTCCTCTTGTCCTGCGGACCCCAGCCGGCTAGTCTGCATCGCCCCACATGACTCAAATCAACAGTCAAAGACTTCATACATTGATGCCATATTTCAGTTTGGCCACCTCGAGCCTTTTTCCAGCCGGAACCTACTTCGGCCAACATTGTGTGACGAGGCAGTCGGCGACTAGGCATACGTAATACGTGTCCCAACCATCTCAGTCGATGAAGGTTCATAACCTCGTCAACTGATTTACCTCTACTCCCTAAAACTCTACACCTGACGTCTGCGTTACTCACGTGGTGATACCACGGAATACGGCCTATAGTACGAAGACGACGGTGGTCAAACACTTGAAGCCTTCTCGTGTCTTCCACCTTCAATGCCCATATTTCACAGCCATACAGTAGAACAGACCGGACAGCTGTACAGTACACGCGACCCTTAGTAGGCAATTGGATATCACGGCGGCGCCATGGGTGGCGTAAGTTGGCAAAAGCCAGCCGAGCCCTTCATATCCGTGCAGAGATTTCATGGGCCACTGAGCCACCAGAGCGGATCCTACTTTGCAGGTAAGCGAAGTGGTTGACACACAATCACTACACTCTCTATTATTAGCCACGGTGGGGCACCGTTGAAGACCAATCCTGGAGCAATAATTTGCATTTGCGTGGTGAGAAACGCATCCCAAACTCTCAAATTCCCACTCAAAGTGTTCAGAAGACTCTTCATCTTGTCAGCGCCTTAACTTAACCGGACTAGGTCATCTGTATATTCTTAATCTAATCAACCTTCAGATGTCTGCGAGTGAATATATCTGTGCCATTGTGACTAATTTCCAGTCGTACCACCAAGAATCCCCAACCACTGATTTATTTCGTAGTGATGCGTCTTGGTGTGACCACCATGAACCCTCTTCCAACCTATATGTATATATATATATATATATATATATATATATATATATATATATATATATATATATATAGATGAATCATTTTGCAGTGTTGCTGATAAGCTAGAAGGCTAACTATCGCGGTACACATTGGAGGATATTAGTTAGTTAAATACAATCGGCTGAATGGAATAGTACAACATTTTCATTTCTGTGAATTCAAAGGTTTGTGGATAAAGATTAAGGAAGCAAAATGACATTAGGAATAACAAAATGAACTCTATGCACTGTCCAGTG